CGCACCGGCTCGCCTGGTGCGTTCCAGCCTGGGTTGCATTTGCATATAAGCAAAAACGCATAAAAATGAAGTCAAAACGATTGGTAAATAAGCGCATACTAATGCAAAAATTCATCAGATTTGTTTGTGAAATAAGAGCAGCTTTTCACAGTCATGTTGCTAGCAGCGACAGCCACTACTCTAAGTGGCCACAGATAACCCTAGTGCATGCGGTGGACAGAATGCTTATACGTGCATGTCCGAGCATCTGTTCCATAAATTACTAACATAAATAAGTTTGTTGCTATAGCGAATGAATAAGTTGCGAAGTAATGCAGCCTCATGCAGATCGCCCAGATCGACCATATCCTCTACACTTTGCACCGAGGTTACATGCATCAGACGGTAGCGCCGATCGCTTGTAAGCCACTGTTCCTGAATAAAGAAGATGTATTGACCGTTTACAATCTCATCAAGGAAATAAAGTATGATGCTGGTTGATTTCAAGTTTATGGCAATCAGCTGTTTTACTTTACCCGTGTGATCAAGAAACGTGCTCAGAAAAGCGTCTGAAATAACTGTCAACAGCAGTAATTTAAAAGTGCTGATTCGGAATTGCAAAAAGCTTCATGAAAGGATGAAAGCGAATAGCAAATAATGACACAAAATGACATAAGTATTTGCATGGAAATGAAGATTGGTAAGCTGTATGGAAACAAAACTTAATATACTCATACAAACTGAAAATTCAACAAATATCGTAAGTTCGCTAAAGCTTAGGAAAAACAAACATTTTTGAAGCAGATGAAAATATAACTGTAAATAAGAGGCTATCAAGACTATTACAACTCCCGCAATAAATCGACGGGGGAATTCGCTGCTGGTCACTCACAAGCCTGTGCATCTGTTCCGGGCCCTTCTATTCTGAGCTCTGGCTAGCTTGTATTCACTGCTTGTTCAGTGCATGTGCTCTAAATCTTCGAACCTTTGGTTGCTAGCTCTCCGTTAACAGTGATGGCTACCTGAAACCGAGTAACATGCCTAATTACTATAACGCACGGTAGCAGCGTTATCCTCAACGCCCCTCGTCTGAAGAAGAATCTGACTGCTGAGGAAGCTGATGGTCATGAAGAGACACGCTAGGCACTTTCAAATCATTTTTTCACCATAGAAAGTATTATCTCTCCTGTTTCCATGTTTTGCATCCGGTGCTAAAAAGATGCTTGCAGCTTTTCTGGTTTGACAGTTTGAG